CTTGGGATCGTGGGCACGCAGGCACGCACGCCTGGCATGAGTTTTAAGCCACTGGGTCTGGGACGCGAACCGTGGTCGACTACGTGGGAGTCCAGCGACATAGCCATTATGCTAACTGCTGGTTCCCAAGATCATTTTAATTATTAATGACCACATTGGAATTATAAAGAAGTTCATACTATACTTATAGTAATTCTTTGATTATGGTTGGTATGAAAATAATTGGAAACTGCCACATTTTTGCTTGTTAGTAGGCAATATATATATGAATATTTTTTTAATGCTGTATTTTATTTTATTTTAATTTTTGAAGTTTGCTGTAGGAAATGTGCACTTTGCCAGAGAGAGACAGAAAGAAAGAAAAAAAGAGTAAGAAAGGGGACCAGCAGGTGATGTAGTGGTTAAGGTGCTAGATTCCCACATGACCAACTGCGGTTCAAGTCCTGGACCTAGAGGCTTAAAACTCATGCTGGGTGCATGTGCGTGTGCACACATGCCCAAAAAAGGAAGAGAAGGGATTGTGTGGCCATCTCCCCTGGGGGTGATTTCGTGCTTTCTCTCTCTGACAAGGGTGAGTGTATGCACCCTATAGCAAAAATTTCTCTAAAACAAGAAAAGAAAGATTACCCTAAGGAGGGATGAACATGTTATAGTCTCCTCTCGTCCATTCTCCCCTTGGAATTTTGGGCACATATGCATGCACATCTGGTGTGTGTGTGTGTGTGTGTGTGTGTGTGTGTGTGTGTGTTTTACGGAAAGCAAGACTTTAATGATGGTCTTGCAAGCTCCAGTATCTGATGACCAGGCATGACCAAGTTGTTTACAGGAAGCATTTTATTCCCTAGTGCACAAGTCCCTCTCCCAGTTTCTCATTGTCTGAGTACTGTGGGGTGTATAATCTTCTGAGATGTCACCGAAGTTTTATTATTCCTGTACTAAGTGTTAAGGTGCAGGCTCAAGAGAAATCCATGAAAACAGCTGACTAAATGTCCTGAGGAAGGAGAAAAACTGGGAAGTAACAAGGAGCAAAGGGCTGGTGACCAGTCACCATCTTGAAAAGTCATTTCTCAAGGGCAACTTGTTGTTTTTGTTTTTGTTTTGTTTTGTTTTTTGTTCAGGAACTTTTTGGAAATGTGTACTTTCTGGGATTGTCACATCTGCAAGCTGGTTAAGCAACTTTTGTTAAGCTGTTCTGGAAAATGAATCACCTAAGGCTATTTTTTTTTTTTTTTAACGAGTTACTGATTTTATTTTCATTGATATTTTGGTCCTTTTCAAATTGTCTTAGTCTTTTTGGCTTTCCTCATCATAGTCTTGAGTTAGATTTCATCAAAATAAGGTTATTTGTGGGCATAGGACACAGGCATTTATTAATTGAAGCTTCTGTGAGCCTCTGTGTCATGCCTCTGACACAAGGAATAATGCAGCACCCTACTGCTGTTAAAACTCCAGCTATAATTATAAGGGAAGTTAGGAGAAAGGCTACCATCCCCTTCCATTTTCCAAATGGTCCTTCTAACCAGTCAGTAAATGGATCCTTAATGCCTGCCTTTTCAGCCTATTCATTTGCCAACGTTGAAAGCTCTTGTAATGCTTTAGTAATGGTTCCATCCAGGGCAACATTATTTGGAATAAAGATATAGCATTTCCCTTCTTGCATGACACAGACTCCCCCTTTCTCTGCCAGAATCATGTCCAATGTGATTTAATTTTCCCAGGCCATTGGGCTACTGGCATCCAATTAACTAGTTACCCCTGGGAGGGCATCCCTAGTGTAATTAATGAATCTCTGTTGATTGTAATAAATATAATTTATTACATTTTTGTTAATAGTAGACCACCAGAAAAATGCTGACTTGAATCCTACAGCTCTTTGATTTTTGGCTTTGAATTAATTGGGAACTTCCCTCAGGGACTTCTGTTTAATCTGTGTATAGTCAAATGACCTTTTCAGTGCCCTTTACTTTTTTTTTTTTTTTTAAAGAGAGATTTTTGATATACGGTGCATGTGCTTGCCAGAGAGACAGAGACAGAAAGTGAGAAATTATCCCCCTCTTGGGAGGGGATGTCCACAGCAGAATTTATATCCTCCATTTTTCTCTTGGGATTTTGGGCACACATCCACACGTGCCTGGTGTGAGTTTTAAGCCACCAGGTCCTGGACTCAAACCATGGTCAACTACGTGGGAGTCCAGCAACATAACCATTACACCATCCTAGCACAACAGTGTGTGACAACATACAGAGTATTGCCAACTAGGCCCATCTGAGCTTTAGTGTCCAGAGTTTGTTTTTAAGAGAGATTTTTGCTGTAGGGTGTGTTGTGTGCTCGCCAGAGAGACAGATAGACAGAAAGCAAGAAATTGTCCCTCAGGGGAGATGGCCACCATGCAATCCCTTCTCCTCCATTCTCCTCCTGGGATTTATGGCACGTGTACATATGCGCCAGGCATGAGTTTTTAGCCACCAGTCCTGGGACTCTTAACTGCGGTCAGTCGACTACATGGGAGTTCAGCAATGTAACTACTACACCATCTGCTGGTCCAGTGTCCAGAATTTTTATTGGGGTTTCATTTTGTAGACACAGTTGATTGAATCATTGCTCACTGGCTCAGTCTCCAGCCCCCCTACTTTTCTGGCTGATGTCACATGGCTCAAAGGCCCAACCATTTAATCATATAGCTTTTTTTTCTGTCATGACCCACCCCTATCTTTGTCATCTCTCAATATAAACTGTCTAGGAGTTAACCATTACTCTGCCTCACTGAGGTAAATGATAGATGTGGTCCAAGGGACCCACCATAAATAACAAAGACATTTCTAGAAAGATACATCTGGAAAATCCCGAGGATTTAGCATATACCTCCTGGAAACTGAAGACAAAGGCTGAAAGGCACATGGCTTAGTCTCTGTAAGCTGAAGAAACAATATCTCGGTAAGGAGTTTGTTAGAGTACCTCAGATATAATTAAATTATAAAAGAGTCAGATAAAAATGATCTGTAAAAATAAATGAGATTTCTATCTCTTTAAACCCTTTCTAGGCATTATATTTCTGGATATTTCATTAAAAGAAGTTATTTAGTTTCCTTTGATAAATCATTATCATGTTTAATAACCATTAATGGTTTATTATTTTGTTATTACTCTTTTATTTTTTCTTTTTAAGTTTTTGTCATAGGGTATGTGCACTCACCAGAGAAGACAAAGACAAGAGAGATCCAGAGAAAGGGAAACTGGGGAAACCCCTTCCCCTGGGGGTATGGCCATGTTGTAATCCCTTGCCCTTCATTCTCCTCATGTGCAAACACTTACATGCACCCAGGGTTAGTTTCAAGCCACTGGTCTGGGACTCTAACCATGGTTGGCCATGTGTGAATCCAGCTGCCTTAACCACCGTGCCACCTCCTGGTCCCTCATTATTATTTTAAATTTAGTCCTGTCACATCTCAGTGAAAGATAATTCTCCTTCTTAGAGAAGTTGAGTAGTATTCCTTTGATTTTGATGCTTCATATACTGGAAGATATTTTTATAGAAGAGTACAACCAACACTTAACATTTTTTCACATCTACATGCATATATGTAGACTTAACATCTGTAGGTTTTCTGCACTGTTTCCAAAATCTAGTTCCTGGCTCGGTAATAAAAATGAAAGCGTTGCTTTGTTTGAGGTTTTTGTTTGTTTGTTGTTATATTTTTCCATTAATGAAATAAAAGCATATATGTGGAAAAACAGAGGGACCATGGTGACTGAAGAATCTCTTCTCTAAACCCCATCTTCCAGACCCCAAAACTCAGAGAGATGCCATTTATACCTGAGGTGTACGCTGCCATGTTCAGGAACCAAGTCACCATTTATATTTGAGATGTGCCCTGCTGTGTTCAGGGACCAAGGTGACTGAAGAATCTCTGTCCTAAACCCCATCTTCCAGACCCCAAAACTCAAGAGAGTTACATGGTCAAAAGCGCAGGCTGGTTGGTGAGCATTAGGGAAATGGAACTGCAGAGAGATTGTGGGTCACCTCCTCCTGCGCATCTCTGGATGTCCTGAATTAACTCCAGGAAATTAGGAAGGAATATACAATCTATCAGATGACCAGAAACCACCACAGAGGCACAAGAAATAAGAGAAACCAAGAAAATATCTCTCCTCCAAGGGGAAAGACCAACCCTTCATCATCTAGAGACAGTACAGTGGAACTCATAGAAATGTCCAATAAAGAATTCAGAATATTCTTCCTTTTGATTGGAACCACTATCTTCCAGTAATTAACCAAAATAATGAACACAATGGAAATAGGAGAGACATCTGATTTGTTCTCTAGGCCTTTTAGGAAACATGGAGTCCTTCCTTTGGCAACATATATGTGAATCTGTAAGAAAGGTGATATTGTATGCATCAAGGGAATGGTTACTGTTCAAAAAGGAATGCCCCACAAAGGTTACCATAGCAAAACTGGAAGAGTCTACAGTGTTAC